TATATATATATATATATATATATCCAACTCTATATATTTCCCTTACATCTATTTATTTTATGGAAAATAAATAATACTCCATTTTTAATTTTACAGGAAAGGCCTACAAAGCACTGTTTCATCTCTGGAAGATTATGACATTCGTAATCTTATCTCCGATCAGCTCATCATCTTTGTGGTGGCTACCACTGGACAAGGGGATCCTCCCGCCAATATGCGACGATTTTGGCGGTTGTTGTTGCGGAAAAACCTACCAGTGAATATGCTGCAGGACTTAAAGTACGGTATATTGGGTCTAGGTGACAGCTTCTACCAAAAGTTCAACTTCGCCGCGAAGAAGCTGAACAAACGGCTGGCGCAGCTGGGCGGCGAGGAGTTGCTGCCGATCGGCTTGGCAGACGACCAGCACAATCTGGGGATAGACGCTGTCGTTGATCCTTGGATGAAGAAACTCTGGGATGAAATCGGAAACGCCTTCAATGTGCCCGTGGAAGACAAGGTCGGCGAAGAGAACTCGGTAATCGAGAGGTACGATGTAGCCGTGATGGAGACGGGCCGGTCGACTTCCATGAGCAGCCTATGCCGGTCGAAAAGTGACATCTACGCTCAGGAAGCGCTCACGAAAGATGGAGTGCGAATAGGGACGATAGTCGAGAATAAAAGGACCACGACAGAGGATCACTTCCAGGACGTGAGACTCATCCAGATACAATCGGACGGCGTCCAATACCAGCCGGGCGACGTCGCCTACGTCCGGCCGAAGAACTCTGTGCAGCAAGTCAAGCGTTTCTTCGACATCCTTCACGAGCATGACGTGAAACTCTTCCCGGACACGGTGATACAAGTGTCGCAGAAAGAGATCAAGGTTCCCTTCGTGCTGCAGCGCAACTTGACTCTGGGGGAGATCGCGGAGCAATATTGGGATCTGAACTTCAAACCACGTCGATCCACCATGTACACTCTGTCCTTGATCAGCGAGAACGAGCTGGAGAAGGAGAAGCTTCATGAGTTCGCCAGTCCGGCCGGTCAAGAGGAGCTCTATGACTACATCAATAGACCGAGGAGGAATGTCCTGGAGCTCCTGACAGACTTCCCGCACACCACTGGCAAGCTGAACGCGAAGTTGCTTTTCGAGATCATGTCCCCGGTGAAGCCGCGTGCCTACAGCATCGCCTCCAGCTCGAAGGCCACTCCGAACGCAATACAGATTCTGGTGGCGGTCGTCAGGTACAAGACAAGGCTGCTGGAGCCGCGTTTCGGTTTGTGTTCCGAGTGGCTGGCTAGTTTGAGAAACAACGACAAGCTGGTGTTCTGGCTGCAGGGGGGGACTTTTCGGTTTGCGAAGGATAAGCCGATAATCCTGATCGGCCCTGGCACGGGACTCGCGCCTTTTAGGTCCTTGCTCCTAGAAAGAGCCCTGACTGACGAGAGTTTGAGGGACTATGCGCTCTTCTTCGGTTGCAGAAATAAAGAAAGGGATTATCACTGCAAGGAGGATCTGGAGAGATTGTCGAGGGAGAAGAACTTGAAGGTGTTCTGCGCGTTCTCCAGGGATCAGGAGAATAAAGTGTGAGTATGCATTTTAAATTAACTGGTTTAAGTTAAACGTTGACTCATTTAAAATTAACTAGGATAAGTTAAAAGTTACTAACTTTTTAACTTAATTTTTTACTGAATTATTAGTGATTACCAATCTTGTATACATAATATATACGTTATGTATTATTATAGATTTTTTATATTTGTTATTTTAATATTACAATTGCATTGTCATATCATGAATAAAAAATTACATTTTTATTATTGCATTTACTGAGTTTCTAATGTATTTTATGATATTTTTCAGGTATGTGCAACACGTTATACGTCGACAAAGAGAGTTATGCTGGCAATTTCTGCAAAACGGCGGTAGCATTTATCTAGCAGGGAATTCTAAGAACATGCCGAACGATGTGCGCGATGAATTCGTCAATTTAGTGAAGGAAATTGGTGAAATGACGAAAGAAGAGGCGGAAGTATTCGTCGAGCATTTAGAGAAAAACAATCGATATCAGTGCGAGACGTGGAGTTAATACGAGGAAAAAAAATAAAATCGCAAAGAGAGAAATCGTACAACAGATTAAAAGAGACACGTGATAGGTAAAACTGCCATTTTCTTGTATAAAGGATTGTATATATCGAATATTTACGAACACGTTAATCGCAAGAAACACGTATCTTCTCATGTATTATTTCTCTGTTACGTCATCGGAATTTTATCTCGACTCTATATATGCGACTCATGTAAGATACACCGGACCTCACAATTTAAATTTTATTAAGAAGTTTCGATAAGAATTTATCTTTCCTAGTAAAGATATTAGGAGGTCATTCTTAGTAAGCAAAAAAAAATATTAAATAAATATTTTGACTTTGTAAACTTTATAAACATTTTGACATAATATTTTCGAAAAGTTTTCAACTGTTGCTTGATAATATAATACTCATAAATATTAAAATTATAGTATAAAAATATTATTTTGAATGTTTAAATCAAATATTATTAACAATGACGCTGTATATAACTTTAAGAACTATTATTTGAAAAAGTTATATGTTACAAAAAATATCATCGTAATAAGCGTTGCGTTAATGATTTCTTGCTTACTAGGTTATTTATAGTATCAATTTTTAACGTGACATCATCGTGTAGCTAATGTATCTTCTAGCTGACATTATTGTCAGCTAACTTTGTTAAGCTAGATCCGAATTAAAATTCCGTTAGGACGAAGTCCGCTTGAGAAATCGAACTATATGAGAATAGTTATTCATTTGGCCGTCTAAGTTTAGGCGGTAAAGCACTTATTCGGTTGTTCGCATTGCGGCAACCATCGATCGACATTTCCGCTGACGAACAATCAGCTTTAAATCGTTCGGAACAACCTGTCGCTACAGAGCAACTCGCGAGTTCCGGGACACCCAATACATATATACATATATATCGTTTTTTTATTCGACGCCTGCGACCGCTCGATCCGCCTGCGTCGTTTCCACGCGTTTCGCACAACTGGGTAAATAAACGATCGCGAGAATAAATGATGCCCCATCGCGATAACCATTATCGACAGCGAGTGGGCGCGCCAACGTCGCGTGATTTTTGCACGGGGCATCGCCGATCGAGTCGGACGCGTTATAGATTGACTCGTGAACTCGGCACGGTGTGTTCGTTTAGTCGTAATGTCCATATTTAGATAGAAACTCACACTTACTCATTCTCACCTACGCGCCGCTCTCTTCCGCTCACGGAGGTGACGCTAGGTGCAGGACGTGCACCTGGCTCATTCTCTCGAGCCGCACCGACTACACTTTGCGCACCTCCGTCGGGCGAAGCGAGCGCGACATCGAGAACACCACTATGGAGGGAAAAAGTGGACAGAGTTGACTCGCTTGGTGCGGAGGGTGCGAGCGAGACGACGCGTACGTATACACGGAACCCCGGAGTGACTCCGCGAGAGGTACGCGCACCTCTCGATATCGTATCGTTTCATTCATCGGCGCGAGTCGCGCGACGGCTCCGCGCTTTCGGCACTTTTCGGCGCCGTTCGCTTCGCGCGCGCAGCGGAGCAGGTGGAGGAGAAGGAGGTGGTGGAGAGGAAGAGGAGGAGAAGGCGTATCTCGATGAACTCTCAACCCCCAGACCTAACCTAAGCGAAACAAGTAACATGGTACGCTCGCGTGCCGCCGCCGCCTCCTCGTCGTCGTCGTCGTCGTCGCGCAGTTCGCCTCGTCATATCTCGAGCGATCTCGTCCTACGACGGTCACCGCTCTCGACGTCGTTGACTAACTGCTGCGCTCTCTGTTCTCACTCTCTTTCTCTCTCTCGCTCGTCCCATCTCCACCTGTTTTTGTCCGACTTTCATCTCGCCGCCGCGTGGGAATAACGACACTACGACGACGACGAGGTGGTGCGTACTCGAGAGAGGCGCGAGGACAACCGACGACGGAGACACGTGATTCTCGTTTCTTTCTCTCTCTCGTTGCTCCGATGGGCGAGCCCGCGATGCCCATTTAACGTCCGTCGCGTCGCACCAATAATAGCGAACCGTTCGAGGGCCGTTGCGTCGATGAAAGCTCTCGCCCCGGTGTGCGACTCGTTCTTTCTCTTTCTTTCTCTCTCTTTCTCTCTCTTTCTCTCTCTCTCTCTCTCCACACTTCCGTACGTTCTCGACGCACCTAACCCCCGATTCGCGTGTATCGTACCGTCGGTGTCTCTCGTGCGGTGGGAAGAGTTCGATTTAGTCGCGTAATTAAGACGCGCAACGTGATCGTGCGCGTGTTCGTTCTCGCCGCCCAGCCGGCGTGGGGTGTATCCGATGACTTCCCCCGATCATTATCTCGGCGAGAGGAAACTAATACGCAACACGGGGGCAATCTCGTTATCTCGGCCGCTCGTTACGCCGATATTTCGGTGATTTCGGCCGCAATAGTATCGGCCAAATCACCGCTACGTTCCACGTGGGCTCATCCACACCCCGTCCGACTAAGCGACTCCCGGGACTAATGCACGTCGTCACCGTCACGTTTTCCAGGTGAGACGGAGGAAGTCACGGAGGAGAAGCGCGGACAGTAGGACCCAGCGACTCGTGTAAGCTTTCTTCTTCTTCTTGTTCGTCGTCGTCGTCGTCATCATTCTCCGTACGGATCGCCGGAGATGCGCTGAGAATCCGTCGCAGCCCGGATCGTTCGAGTTTCCAAGCGGATTCTCCGAGCTAGGATTGTGTAAGCCGATACACGGGATAAGAAAAAGTGCCAGATTCGAGTAAATGTAATTTCCAGTCTTTTAAAATGATAATTTTGTCAACTAAATATATTTTAATAACTTATAGAATACTCTCTGACTTGAACGCAGTTCAATGTCTTAATTTGTGAATGAATTGAAATAAGTGTAAAGTGGTCTTAAATTTCGTATTTATTCGAATTATATAATAGTTCTTTTTTTGAAGAAACCTTGTGGAAAATTTTGATTTTTCTCACCAGTAAATGATTTCTAAAATTAAATGTTATAAATTTCATACTTGTCGCAATTGTTTTAACACAAAAGTGAATGTCTACTTATATAAACGAAATATATACTATATATAGTCAATTATATTTCTACTTCTGGTAAATATCTGCCAAGAAGTATTGGCGTTAACCAATTTGCTTGGGTCAAGTAAATATTACTTGAATGGTAGCACTTTTTTTCAGTGTATATACCGTGAAAACGCAACGAGATCTCGAGGCGCATTCTCTGCACCTCGCCTCGCACCGATGCTCGCCGGAGCTCCGTTTTTCACAGCTGAACTAGCTTGCACTTTTCAACGCCGTTGAAGTGAGACGAGTTAATATAACTTAGCATTGAAAGGGAATGAAAAGAGGTTCTATTGTAGCTTCGGGTCGTTCTTCATCTCGAGAAAGTGAAGTGTTCACGAGACGTCGGGAGCAAATCCATGAGGGGTGCGGCGCTAATTCAGCTGCGGAATCAAGTGTTCCAGCGCATCGGTTCATCCACAAAGAACAGACCTCCAGGAGGTCGCTCGCGTGAAATTACCCGAGCGCTCCCGCGAGAGTAATGACGTAATGACGAAGTGTCCGACGAACACGGCCCACTAAATAATACGATAACCGCTCGCGATAACGAGCCGCTCACATTATGCTTCTGCATTCAGATAACGTTCGTATATGAACAGCAGCTTGGATGCGCACCAGTAGTTGAGTGACAGTAGAGTTCGTTACTGGACACCGTTAGCCGTTAGAGCCGCGTCGTGTAGACGCGACGAAGTCTCGTGAGTTTCTCCGCGTCTTCACCGGCGAATAGTACGACGAATAATCAGTGAAAGGCTCGACGCGGATTGTAAGATTGCCTCTGTCTCTCTCGTGTCTTCGCGCAACGGGGTATGAGACTCACCGGACGTTATAGCGAATTTGAATTTCTCGGCTTTTGCAGAGTGACTTTTTCTCGTGGGGTTTCTCGAGCAAAAACATGGCGGGCAGCTACACGAAGAAGGAGTTCGGCATGGGGCCCGAGGAACAGACCCTGCTGAAGGACTCCAACGGGACTCGCATCGTGCCCGTGAAAGGTAATGGTAACTCTGGAGAGCTTTCGTCTCTTTCTGCAGTCGCTCGCTCTTCCCCGATCTCTCTTTCCCTTTCGCGCGCACGCCTCCCACCGCCTCGCGCTCATCGGTGGACTTCCTCCTCCCTCTCCTCATTCCTCGTGTCGCCTTCTTTATCTTCTTCTTTTGCAGATATCCGTCCCTTTCGTCGTAGCCATTGCTTCATATTCGAGATCGAATTCTTCGCGCGCGTTCTATTTTATCTTTTTGTAAAAAAAATCATTTCTAGTTCATTTCTAAAGGAGGGTGTCTCTCTGCGAGTTACAGAGTTACCAGGAATGTAAATTTCCGTAATATTCCGTAGCATTTTCAGTAATTCGAATAATTGAGTTCGAAGTAGATTTCATCTCGCGATTATTTGATTTTGAGTCTTAATTAACAAGTCTCTTAATTTCCTGCAAAGAAATGATTTCTATAAAATATTCTAGAATCTTCAGGTATCTATTTTTATATTAAACCTGCATTATAATTTTATGCAATATAATTACGCAAGACCGATTATCTTCCTCTTGCAATTTCCGGGACAATTTTCAAAAACTGACCGCACTTTGTACCAGCAAGTCTAAATTAACTGTGAAGTCCTAAGGCGGCCTCCTCTTTTTCTTTCTCCCTCGGTCGCCTTCCTTTTCGATCTTTTTATTTTACTCCCCTCCGTCCCTTTCATACACTTACCCTAAACCAGTTTGCGGCCGAAGCCTTCAGCCTTCGCAGTCTGTAGTATCCTTGACACTGGTGGTTAAATATTTGTGGCCGTAGCGTCGGTTTGTAGTTTACTAGAATTACCCGCTCTGTCAACGGCTCACGCTGTACTACCGAAAAGTAATTGCAACCCGACCCTGGCTGAGTTTGTTTGCAACTAATTACTTGCAATTTGCGTGTGACACACATGTGGATATTATGTAATAGTCCGTATCTCTCAGTCTCTCGCGCGCGCCCTTATCGTTAACGACTCGAGATAAATCAGTGATGGCTTAAAATGTGATTATGCAAAAATTCGAGACAATTTTCGCAGTTATTTAAGACGCGTATTATTGTTTGATACGTATTATTAGTTGTTGACGTTTGTGAAATCGCGGAGGCAATCGCATTCCGTAATTTGCTGAAAATGGGAATGTAACTTTATCTTTGAGTAGACATTCCATTGGGCTTTCAATTGATAAGGTGTGATGAAAAAAAAGACTCGCAGTAACCGCTTCAAAATGTATAAAGCATCCTGTGGTATATTTCTCGGACGTCCCCCAACAATAAATCTCGAGATTGTTCTACCGATGTTACTTACTTTGTATTATCTTTACTCTATTAGCCCCGAAGCCTGAAGACTGATAAGATATTTAAAAGACGATTCTCATATGTGCAGGCTCTCAAGTGGGTATGCGTAACCTGATTTGTGTCGAACATTAGAAACATTAGAATTGTGCAGCTCCGATTGGAAATTTTGATTGATCGGGAGACGGAATATATAATAGAGCCATGAGGAATTAAAGCACGGATGTTACAATGCCATTTAAATATTAATATTGTCAATATTAATATGTCTGTAGGAGGATGTACATGGGAGAATATTTTATTCTAAACATAATTCTTCTTATTAAGTCGATCAAAAATTTTTCATTTTAAATTTATATCGACCGTTAAAAAACTGCCTCGGCCAGAAGTCGAACCAATATCAATTCGACTGCCGAGGCTTCGACAATTTTCTTGCAACAATCAGTATTTGTAAACTCATAAGGACGTATGTACGAGAACAAATTAACCCAATTACTGATTACTGAAAATTAACTCAATTAACATAATTAATTATTAAAACATTAATATTGACGATATTAACCATTTATATGACATATATAAGTATGGCATATATAAATAAAAGATCCTAAAATTTTAAATTATTCATTTTATTATTATACTTTATATTGTATAATATATCATATATATTATATATTTTATTATTATTTGCCTTATCATACTTTATATATTTGTATTATTATTATTATTATTACACGCGAGAATGCCTTTCGGCGATTGAATCGATCGATGGGTTGTTCTATGCAATTGTACAAAAATAATCCAAGTACATCTAGGTATCGTATATACTTGTAACTGGTCGCTACGTCATACTTACAGCTCCCTTCCGTCGAATCCAACTGGCTCTTGACTGTTCGTGCATCAATTATTCGCCGCTCGCGATGATTGCGTGTGAAGTAAATTTTTAACTCCGTGGCGATGGTAACACGAGAGGGTTCCGGTTCTCGCGGCATATATATATATTTTAACACGGCCAAATATCAAAGAGAGTCGCATTCTTTCATGCGTAAACGTCTCGTTTTACCAACATATAACATGCTGATTTAGCACGTATGTGAGAGAACGGCCGGTTCCTCGCGGTTACTGATACAGTAAGACGTTGCGACACGAAGCTAGAGCAGCGATGTCCACATCTTCCGTGAGTGACAGGCGCGATAATGTTTCACGAGCGAACGGTGATGCACAGATCTCTTTTACTTTTCCCTTATTTAAATTAGCGCTCGTCGTCCCGATAGAATATAACTTTGTTTATTTACAGAAAAAATGAGACGAACAACCGCAAAAACTGTCCCACCATTTCTGATAATTGCGTCTTGGTCAGTTGAGAGACTCTTTCCGCGAGGCTTTTAATCGATCGAATCAGTGTCGGCTGATCAGACGTTCCAAATATATGTCATGTTAAATCCGCGACTCTTGTAAATTTTAGTGAGTCTGCTCGGCAAGGCAGTAATGAGTTTTCTCTTCGCAGGTTGCGTTAATACATCCTATAATACTTTTAGAGATCCTCGGTCCGCTGGTAATTAACAGTTAATTCGTTACGTAAAGCAGTATTCTTTCACACACACACACACACACACACATACACACACATATTTTATCTATTTCTCTCTCTTTTTCACTATACACGCACTTAATTTTTTAATTGCATTTGTCGTCGTCTTTCCGTGTAAATTGCGCCGTCAAAGGACCACTCACACGCGTGCTATATTACCAGAATAGATCAATTAATATTAATTGATCACTCGAATGCAGTGCGCACTATTACACTGCAGAATTCACGCTCCGTTGCAACGAATAAAGTGCTGAAAGTTTGTCCCCGTCTCTCTTTCTTTTTTTTTCACATTGCACGCGGGATCTGAATTAATCGATCTAATGATAACGAAAAACACCGAAAATTACAAGTACTAATGACAAGCGTAGGCCTATCGATAAGACCCTTCGAAGACGAGGCATGCAATGTTTCGATGTTGAAGGTCTGCGAGATTGGCAAGTAAACTCCCGTTTCAGGTTGCGAACCCGTGCGTCTTTCACCGGGATGGGAAGGCACTGGTAGACCAGACGACGAGTTGAACTTCAAAGGTGTCACGATGGATCAAGCGGATCTCGAATTGAATCCTCCTAGAGATAGGTAAAAGTTCGGGAATATTTCCTTGATTTAAATTCATTACATTCTGTATTTCTGTTACTCGTGTGCCGTTATGATTTGTCATTCCGTACAAGAGCAAGGTCCCCATTTCTCATAAGAAATATGGTGCTTAAGGAGGTTGAAACGTGTTGGAAAAATTCGATGAAACCTGCGCTACATACACTGAAGCACTAACTACTCGTGAAGTTAGAAAAAGATTGATTATTTTTAATTTCTTTTTAATATTTTCTAAATAAAAAAAAAAGATATTGATAAAAAACTGTTATGTTATTAAAGACTAATATACAGACATATAAATTTCCGAATAATGATTCATGGTCAACGGACAAATGGTCAACGGACTATTTTATTTGGAAAATGCGGCGGTATAAGGTTCATAATTTATAATAATATTCGAAATGCATATTTAAACACTTGTATACTTTTTTCTATTATATATATATTTCTCTCTATTAAATCAACTGATAAAAATAGCATTAAGAAGAAAAATAAAAAATTATATATATATATAAATTAATTAATTTATAGTTGACACAGAATGAGGAAATAATTATTACCACCTTGAACATATTTATGAAAAATAAAATGTATGAATGACTAGGTGAAGATGAAAAAAGTTTATATTTATAGAAAGTTTTTCGAGTGACGACTATTGGTATATCGCCAGGATTTTCGTTGAATAAATTTTTCTTCTACGTCTACATTTCGAAGATATTTAACGTGATAGTAGTTATTGTCTAATCCTATGTGTACGGAATGACAAAACTACAATAAATTTTAAACTGAATCAACAAATGAGTTTATCTTGAGGAGTTTTCTCTGAAGATTATAATGATGTAGGTGTGGAATGTATATGAGTAATGTTTACGATAGGCGTCGAGCTCGTTCTTATCGTACGAAACGCCTCATGCATAGTGTACATATATATTTTCTACTTTTATTACGTATATATTTTATGCACATGTTCGATTCTTTTCAGATTAAACTTAGTATTTTGCATATTGGTACTTCACGGAATCGGTGCCTTGATGCCATGGAATATGTTCATAACGGCTAAAGAGGTAAGTCCTAAGAGCTCGAGGAAGAGAGATGTTTTGACACAGCAATTTTCGTATTTCGGGTCACTTCGAGGTCAGCAATCATTGTAATTACGTGCTCGTTCTTGCAGTATTTTGTCAGTTATAAATTGTCCAAGGAGTACACCGGCGTGGACACGAATTACGCGACGAATTTCCTCGCGTATCTGGGATTTGCTGCACAAGTGCCGAATCTGCTGTTCAATTGGCTGAACGTATTTCTACAATTTGGGTACGTATCAGCTCGATTAAATTAAAGAGATAATTGCGCTTAAAGTAGTTATCTTTTCTACCATAATAATTAATTGAATCATAATTGACTTTACGATTGATAATCATTGAATTATAATTGATTTTACGACTATTAACAATAGAACGGCTACTGCTGTCGATGAAGTAATAACGATTCAATTTTATTAATGACATTCACTTTTAATTTTTCAGAGGTAACCTGACGACGCGCATAGTATGGAGTATTTTCGTCCTGGTTCTGATATTTGTTTTCACCGTCGTGCTGGCGATGACCGACAGTTCTGCCTGGCCCGGAGTGTTTTTCTGGATTACCATGATATCCGTTGTCATATTAAATAGTGAGTGAGCTGTTCATGTATCAAACTTTGTAGCATTAATTAACAAAGTTCCATCGAAAATTCACACGTCGTTCGATGTATTTGTGATGCTTGTAGCTGCCAATGGCATTTATCAGAACTCGGTTTTCGGAATGGCGGCGAAATTGCCGAGCAAATACACAGGCGCTGTTGTCTTGGGCTCGGTAAGTGTTGTCGGCGATGAAGGAGGTCGTAAGGTTAAATGAATTTGATAAGAATTCAGTGAAACTGGTGCTACATATATACATTATCTAACTGCTCATGTAAATGAAGAAAGATTGACTATTTAAGATACTAAGATACATTTGCAAATTATATTATATTTCCAAAGTTGACTTGAAAAAAGCGTGCTACTTTTAATTTCTGTTTCTGATATTTAATATTCTAATATTTAATTATCTATTTCTAAACCGAATATAAGATCTTAATGGAAAACTAATATTAAAAACTGATATATTTCAGAGTTTACTATTTTGTTCTGAAAATATAACGGTGCAAACTCTACAATTTATAGTAATACTCGAAATACATATACATATGCATATATTTAAACATTTATATATCTCTTTCTATGATTTGTACACTTCTATTGGAGCAACTGATGCGTAAATATAGCATAAAAAATAATATAATAATAATAATATAAATTATTAAAGTAAAAATAAATTATAATGTAAAATAAATAAAATAATATATATATATAAGATAAATATAATAAAATAATACTGATAATAAAAATATCAATATATAAAAAAAATAATAATACTCTCATATTTTTAATATTGTATACATATATATATTTCAACATTTCGTTTCAAATTAACATTTATTTAAATAATAAAGTAAATGTATATAAAAACATAATTTTACTCTGTAAATATTAAAATTATGAGTAGCCCCCTTGATGCGCCATTGAAAATATGACAGTGAGCCTTACAATCTCCTTAAATAACATCGTTGTACATAATGCATATACCTATCTATTTATTCGCATATACATACTTGACGTTATTTTGCAGAATATAAGCGGGACGTTCACAGCCATAATAAACTTCCTCGCGCAGATAATGGCGCCGAACGCACGCACCGCCGCCATATATTACTTCATCACCGCTTTATTCGTTCTGCTGGCTTGTTTCGACACTTACTTTGCTCTTCCGATAAACGTAAGCCTTCGACCGTTTGTTCTGTATTCTTGGTTAGGTTCATGAGTCAAGGTTTAATGTCAGCGGAATCTCCACAGAGATTTTACCGATATCACGAGATGATTCACCAAAAAGAGGCGAACAAGAGACAACTGGAGAACAGCAGCAGAGGCATGCCTCAGAGTCCACCTTATTGGAAGGTGTTCAAGGCGTGTTTCCCACAATGCTTCAACACGTTCCTCATCTTCTTCGTCACCCTAGCCCTCTTCCCCTCCGTTCAATCTGACATACAGTCCTTGGACGAGAACTTTGTGGTGCCATCCAACTATTACAGCAGCGTCATGTGCTTCTTGACGTTCAACATCACTGCCATGCTCGGTAGTTCCGTCGCGTCGCTCGTTCAATGGGTATGTGCACTCTAATTTTATATATGTACCGTTTTGCATTTGTACATGGCATATATGTAATGCGATATATTTTGCTTCTGAACAGCCCAGCAAGAAGTACCTGATAATCCCCGTGACTATGCGGTTCGCTTATATACCGTTGTTCTTGCTCTGCAACTATCAGCCAGCTAACACGGAGAGAATATTACCGGTATATATCCACAATGATTGGATCTACTTGGCTATCGCCGTTACTATGGGTTTTAGCAGCGGTTACTTGTCGTCGTTGTCAATGATGTATTGTCCCAGGTATGTGTCATTAACGAGAAAGGAACGTGAAAATGTGGGGTACATATACATATACGTCATAATATTACATACTGTAATGTTATATCATAATATTAATATGCAGCGCGCTTAAAGATAATAGCATATAAATTTGTGATATACAAGATACGATAATAAATGTATCGTTTCCAGAATGGTGGACTCGCAATACGCATCGACGGCGGGCATGTTCGGCGCGGCGTCGCTCATCACGGGTATCTTCACGGGGATTTTGTTTTCGATGCTCATGCCGAGCTTCGTGGCCAGCGTGACGTTTTGATTGCTCTCGGTGTGGAGAGCACTTCGCTTGTATTCAGTACTCAGGAGTTAGAGAACAGACCGGAGTGTGTGTGTTTCAGAGTTGAGAGAGTATATACATATATACATATATACATATATACATATATATATATATATATATATATATATATATATATATATTCCGCGGTTACAAACTGAAGTATAAGGCGCAGTGAGAAGGAATGAAATGTTTATATACTCCGAAGAGGAGGAACGAAACGTCACTTCCGGTGTTCCCGGGAATGAGAAGAGAGGAAGAGGGATATACGACGTTTCTCGGAAACGCGAAAGTCGCTTGCGTTAACTTGAACGAAAGGGAATCGCGTCGAGAGACTTGTTTGCTTATACATCCGTATATATACGTATGTATTAGTGATGTCCGATTAATCTAACATCCGAATAGCCGGTTTGACGATTTAAAACACGGATGTGTGATTTTTTTTAACTCGATTAATCCAAAAACTCGTCTAATCGAATAACCATTCGAATCAATCACTTAGTCCGGTTAATCACAATATTCGAAAAAATGTGATAAATCGGTTAACCGTTTGGTTTTTAAATTGTGTAGAAGAAAAAAATAAATTACGTCATCTGCGAGATTCATTGCGCGTATACGACGACGTTTATGATGACATTATCACCTCCACCCTTTTTTTTGTCTTTTTATCCTACGTCTTTCCTGGTTGGCAAACTTGTCTTTGAATCACATTTATAATAATCAACGTTAATTAGTTAATTAGTATGTAGTGATACTGTGTAGAATAGATTTTAACTTTTAATTTTAATTATTTAATTAAATTTTTAATTCAGTTTTAATCGAGAATTAAAATGTCAAAGTCGGCAAAAAAAAGTGAGATGTAATGACTATCGTTATTGGTTACGCGCAAGGAATCTCATAGATGATACAATAAATTTTTCAACGGTTAACCGTCTGATGAATTTTTTAACGGTTAAACATTTATGAGATTCCTTGCGCGTAATCGATAACGACAGTCATTACATCTCACTTTTTTTTTCAACGAATTTTTCAACGGTTAATCAAATTTTTCCGATTATTCCAATATTGTGATTAACCGGATTGAGTGATTAATCGGTTCGAACGATTATCCAACTGGATTCTCTGATTAATCGAGTTCTAAAAATAAATCTTACATCCGGTTTTAAATCGTTAAGCCGGTTATAAATCTGTTGATCGATACAGTGGTTAATCAATTTTCACGAACCCTAATATATATGTATTTAATCATATAATTCTTTACTGTATAAATCGACATTGAGCACGACCGCTCGATCGCGCAGAAGCCACTCGGAACCATGCGTATTTTTTTTGTAAGTATGTGACGTGGATTTTTTATTATCGGTGACATGATTTTCGATCGAGGATTGACATCGGTGTAACTTCCGCCGAGTTCAGAGACAAGTGTCGCAGATATGCGACGAACAATTTGTTCGCGCGGAAGCGAACGTCATTTTTTTCATGTATCTGGCGCATGGTACTTACTCCCCCCCCCCCCTCTTCGATACCGAGTCGGAAACTGAACTCGCCAAAATTACATACGTTTCAATCCTTGTTTCCGACGTCCCGTTTGGAGACGGTGTACAGAACACGACCTGAAAGAACGGCTGAGGAATCCAGAGGCGTCGACGATATCTCCAAGAGGTCGGTTTTTCGAGCCATGTTGATTAAACGTCTTTTTTTTCATTCTCGAGTAACATACGTCGCTGGATTCTTCAATCCTTCACAGGAAAACAGTTTGAACTTCTGACAATGAATCAAGCCAAAGGCGTCTTGATTGAAGGAAACAGAATTTCTGGTTTTTATAAACTGAATTCAGTTCTCATAACTGGGAAATTTGGTTTTTACAAACCAAATTCAGTTCTTACAACCGGAAATTCTGTCCCCTTCGACCAAAACGCGCTTGGTTGGTTCATCGTCAGGCAGATTCGACCAGACCTTTTTCTTCCCGTGTTCTTTCGGACGACTCTGTACGTTATACGAGTAGTTACACACAAACGTACATAAGAGTTATAAACGTTAAGACCACGCAAAGTGCATTAACGATCCAGAAGACGATCCATTATGCGTACAGAGATCGACCGTGCGCAGTCGACTTTCGCCGCAGCAGATCTGAGTAGGGAGTACCGGAATCCACGATTTCTCGAGGATCGGAGGAAGCTGTTGATGACAGCCTGTTCGTTTCATCCGCATTTTCCGCATTCGGTGTCTCCGACATACGCGAATGCATATCCGGTTTAAGCGCAGAGAATATGAGAAAGTGCGAATGCAGCGAACAGACGTAGAGCGATGCAAAAGATCCGTCGAATGAAGCAGCGAACGAAATTCCGTTCCGTTTCACGGCAATCTTTTCGTTCGTCGGGTTACTTTCGTCGTCGGCTTCACCTCCAGCCGGAGGGAAATTCCCGCGACACCTTCGGTCTCTTCAAGGAATCTCCCGACTTTACTTCTACGTGAGAGAGCGAAAGACGGACCTTTTGCACCAGCTCGACAACTTTACGATACTATTATTGCTCTCCCCCACCCGATTATATAAAATGAAACCGGACCAATAAGCCTTAATAATGAGACGAGGAGGAAGAAGAATCATATTCACGTTCTCTCTTATCGCATCGTTCGAATAGAAACCGCTGTGCAGATTTCGTCGTTGATGGGGGGTCACGTCACGTATTTAGAAATCTCCCGTGCACATGACGATATTAATGATACTTGTCCCGCGCTTAGCGCCAAGGACGACCGGCCCGCCGCGAATTTTCCATTGTCTACCCCAGGAAAAGATTATCGTGCGTTCGCCGTGTGTGTGTGTGTTTGGCGTTGAGCGCGCGACCAGCGCGAGAATATGCCTCTTACTAATCGTTAAGCATTAAAATTTTAGATAGAGTCTACGCTAAAGTTGTCACTCGCTGAATTCTCCCACGCAAACAGAGAGAGGACAGTCCGTTTCTGAGTTGGTCTGGTTGGCGGAACCGGGCGTACGCGGACACCCTCAGGATGTCTCTCGCCCGAGACGCCGCTGTGTGTGTGTGTATATACAGGGTGTCCCGGAACTACCGTACGTCCTGAACACGACAGATTCTTTGGGAGATTCTAGGACGAAGGTTCTGACTTCGGTTCCGGTCCCTGGTAACTTGCAAATTCAGTTCAATCGGCATTCAATAGTGAGAGTCACAATGTTGTGTTGTTATGTAATGAGAAGTGTCGGTTTAATTTCTGTTTATTTTATATTTAGAACCGGTAGATAATTATTATCGATAAATTCAGTGTCGTATTGTAAATTTAAGCCGTGCGTTTGGCGTTTTACATGTAACGTATCAAATTAATCGTTTACGGTAAGGAGCTTCTTTGTTCAGAATTTTATTAGATCTCCTAGGCATTCCGAGTTGCCGTAGTTACCTGAGCGCGGGAAATGTTAAATGTACAATTAGTCAACTTTAATCGTTTGCAATCTAAACGTAATTGTAATCTCACATTTTCGTACTTGAATCTTCGTCTTATAATGCCCCAAAGAATGTGTCATGTTCAAGACATACATAATAGTCCTGGGATACTCTGTATAAATATAAATGTATATACACATACATATAATGTTAATGTAGATAGAGAGAGATAAAACAGTTTTTATTGAAGTCGATGAAGATTCAGAGCGGCGATCGCTCTCGACCACTGATGAAATGCGTTCTCGGTTTCGTTCACTTAGACATTTTGTCTAAACCAACGTCTTCGCCTGACGTCGTGCGATATTTACCGATTCTTTTTTTTTTCCTCCCACGTCATTCCCTCGCCTCGACGTCGACAGGGTATCGCAAAATTAGACTAGAATTGTCCAAAATCTTGTCCGTCAACGGTCTCTCTTATCGAACTCCCACGTATTTTACGTTCTTCGTTTTTCCCTTTTGTTTTTTTTTTTTTATCTTTTTTAGTATTACACTATTGTGCTCATTAATTAACGAGGTTGTGTTTGTTCTGAGATTTACTTTGCAGTGTCATGATTTTTTTTTTCCTCGAGCAACAAGTGCGAAATAAGTTTGTACGATACACATATCTTTCGCGTCTCTCGTTAGGTTTAAGTTAATTTTAAGTAGATCTCGTGTAACGATTATATATTGATTAAGCGAAGTCAAGGGACGATAAGTTTTCACGCCCGCGTCGATAGGCTCGAATCGACAAAGCGAACTGTACTACTCTTCGACGCGCTGATTCACCCGCGAATTTCCAGTCTCACAGGATACTCTCACGTGAGGATGTCGATGTAAATTTTATATAGAAGTACTTTTGATACGAAATTTTCACAGAGATCTCTGGGAACATCCTCTTTTCCTCATTTCACAACGCTTCAAGCGAATTCATATTCCGCGTCTCTTCTCGAAGCTGGGTGGGAGAGTCGAGACTAGCCATTCGACCGACACTACAGTCCTCGCGCGCTGTTTTCATAATCGTGTTGAAACGGTGCGCGTTCCGCTTCACTTTTGTGAAACGACGAGACGCGCACGTTTCGAAAAATTGGAAGTTGATCACATCTCTCCGGCTATGATTACGTCTTGGAAAACGCACGATTCCTGTTTCCGCCATATGTATATCCATATGTACAGTCGATGAAGCGTGTGTACGGTGACGTGTTTGTTACTTTAAGCCGCGAAACTGATCGCGAAACGTCCTTCGTTCCTCATGAGCGATCGCGATCGCGTGACATCTACGCGCGATGTACAATAATGATTCTTCCGCGAATGACGTTCTTCACGCTTGGACAATCTTTAAGATTCCTTCGTCGCTTCATCATCACACATACACACACACACACGTACATACAAATATGCGCGCGTGCGTCGTTTCACCGTCAGCTCTAGTTTTAAACGTTAGAGTTAAGCTGCGTCTGGTGAAAGAAAACAAGAAAAGGAATTTTCGTGTGTAATAACCACACCGTGAAATATGCTCTCTAAGTTGCTCGGAGTGAGATTCCTCTCGAAAAGAGTGGAGTGTTGGTCTAGTCGCTCAAATTCGAGTGACTTTTTACCGATATCGAGTAAATTGTTCACTTTGAATCGTCGAAGAGAATGAAGATTCTCACTTGAAGCTGAAAAGTGAATCTGATGTATCGCGCCGTTGTAGCGGTAAAATCATACTATAATCGATCGAAATGTTCACTCGTATGAATTAGAAGAATTCGTTCTTTAAATTTGAGTTAAATATTTACTATTGTGATTATCCGAGTGACGATAATTTTCTATTATAAATCGTTGAATAAAAATTTTTGCTCGAAACTGAAGAGCGAGTCCGACATATTCCGTCGTCATAGATACAAAATCATTCCAATCGATCGAAACCTCCACTTTGAATTACAAAAATTCTCTCTAAATTTAAATTAAATATTCTTGTGATTCCGAGTGACGGCACTTTCACCGTCATTGTGACATGAATTTTCACTCGTTTCCGATGAGATTTCACTGTAGGATATTCAGAGAATACTCTCAAAAATTCTTCAAGTGAAATTCCACTCGAAAGGCAGAGTTACGACCATGTCGCTCGAATTCGAATGATCTTTCACTTGTACAAAATGAGTTCTCCATTCTAAATCGTCAAGTAAAGATCCCTCAAAATTAATCTGTACGTTCGATTTTAACACGAATTGAACACTTTTGATGCAATTTGGAATACAGCCGATAATCCGATGAGAGAAAATTTGTTTCTGACTAATTCCCAGAAATGAAGTTCTCTCATTGAACTAATGGCTGTATTTTGAGTTGCGTTGAAAAAAAGAACGTTCAAACCATTTAAAAAATGAATATATTCCATCGTCGCAGGAACATATTGTACGATTGAACGAACTCGATCGATTGAAACATTCGTAAGGCTGAACGTCCACTCGAAGTCCAAGTAAGACATTTAGATTCGTATTTAATAGTTATTACTTGAAACTTACCAAAAGATGAGGTATTGAGATGTAAATTTAGGTTTGTATTAATAAGTTTGTACTAATAGTGGTAACTCGAAACTTGTCTTGTTTAAGATACTTAAATTTTAATTCAGGGTTAGACCTGAGGTTTTCATTCGAGTTGAATCATATGATATATCTGACATTTATATCTGCTATGACGATTTAACTGAAAAAGTCACATCTAACCCTGAATTTAAGACTGCGCATCTCACTTGTTACAACGTGAGAACACAAATAGATACAGATGCGTGCTTATATGTTGCTTAGATGTTCATTCATGTCATCATGTTACAAAAATATCTCACCTAATAGCATTAATCATAATCACGTCCTGAACGTGTATACATCATTTATGTACATCTTGTGCTTGTATACATCTTGTGATGTTAATCACATAACGATCTTTAAAAAGGTATTAAGTTGAAATCACAGTATGACGTGATTTGCAATAAAACTCAATCATTATGCATTTCTATCTGATAGATAGATTTCTATCTGATAGATTTCAAGTAACAATTATTAGTATAAATCTTCGAGTTAGATGTGAGTTTTTCAGCTCATTCAATCGAGCTTACAACGTAACATCGTATATATTATATATGATTCAAAGATAAAAAAATCAAATCTAATTCTAAATTCAAAACTGAGTATCTCACGTGGGACAAGTTTCTCAAGTAACAACTATCAATACGGGCTTTGCTCTTGTGATTTCAGAGTTCTTTCGATGTCGCTTCGAAAAATTCAGTCAACTCACCCAATTTTCGCTTCTTTCCAGTAAGACACCATCCCGAGAGATTTAGAGAGTGTACGCATCGTAATTAATTACATTGATCATACCGTGCATGCGCGACCGGAGATTAATGCTTCTCGCAGGACCACCGCCACGAATCCAAGCGAACTCTTTACTCGTCGTCATCGTCGGGACTTCTTCCTAACTGTCTTATAATAACGATAATAATCTCGAATTTCACATTGAACACACTGCATTACGTTTTCTAAGCATTTAAGGTGACACGCGCCGCAAGACGGGCGGCTGCTTTCAATTTTGTATTTTTGTACGAAGACTTTATCATCCGTTGACACGATTCCGCGCTTAGTTATAACGCCCACAGGATGTTCCTAAAGTAGGTTCGGCCAAATTTTACGATTTTTTTTTCCTTTTCTTTAATTTCTTCTCCGATCGACACAGACTGACACGAGAACAGGCACGAGTCGAGGCTCGCAGGCTTGGAGTCTTGAGCGGATATTTTAGGGACAACCTGTATTCGGGATGACACGTTCAAGCGCACATTGCATCCGTATTCGATCTCGCTCGTTTATACACACATACACACACATACACACACTTGCATTTTTTAAATTAATTCTAAAGGTAGGTAAGCCACGCCAACTCGGCGATCCTAATCGATTCTAATCATCTCCATTATCTCTATCAACTTTTACGGCGTATCAATAATCCATTATCTCTCGTCGATTTAGCATCCACTGATCGACAAACTCGAAAAAAAAGAAAGAATAGGTTCGTTAGAAAGGAACGTTTCGTTTACGTCGCGATGATTCTGGGAGAAAATAGTGAGTTACAATCGAGAGACGCTTGATATCAATTGCAATTGGCGATCAAAATTTGAAGGAATTTCGTAATGTCAACTTGTTATTTGGATTGATTGTAATGATCAGGTATGGCGGTATGGACTCTTCAATTTTTCCTTTCCAATTAATAGTAAATATCAACTAATAGTAATATCCCAAAAATAAAATGTCTAAGTAAGACATCTCATGTCCCGACATTTTAGACATATTGTCTGGGATTATAATATTATAATTTCCCATTCAACAATATAACTGTTATATAGGGTCTTCCTTAAGTATCCATCCATACTCGAGGAGGCGATTTTTTTATTTATTTCAAATAAAAAAGTTCATACTTTGATGCCACCCGTTGAATGCCATTCGACACAAAATTACTTGTCAAGGAATCTCATATGAGATATTTCGCATTTTTATCACGGTGAAAGTTCAATCTACCGAGTTCAAACTCAATCGAATACGAGCTCACCTTTGCAATTTTCACTATTGAAAATAAAATTAAAATAAAAAATCGACCCCGAGTCTCTCAGATAAAATTACAAGATAACAGACACACAGATTGCGGAATCATCGCGTCGCGAACAGAAACGCGTTTCTCCATCGGTGATCCTGAAGAAAACGGAAGAAAGGAACGTTTTACCTCGATCATCATATTATCAGACTGACGAAAAATGACAATGATGATTCTAAAAGCGCTGAATTCTGAATTCCTACATGGACAATCCTCCGTACGAAGCAATGCAGACAATAAAAAGGTCGAAGGGATTCGATAATAAATCCAATAATCGGAAGACTCACTCTTTTGAATTTAAAGATAAATGAAAAAGAAGATGAAGAAGATAAGAAGAAAAATGAGAAACCGAGATAGAGTAGATGGAATATTTTTATATGGATTCGGTCACACGAGTAAACTTTTTCATTCGACACGATTGTTTCCCACGCATATCGTATATTGTTCTAAGTCTTAAGTCTATTAATAATAATAAATTAAAGAGGAATTCATAATTAATATTAAACATGCTATGTATGTAAGGCGTACCGAACGCACGTTCATTTCCGCGTGGAAATAGCGCAAAGATGTCTGCCGAAGATACAAAGTTCGCGACCGTCATTTTTCCACGTCGAAATGCACGCGTGTGCATAGTTATAAACGCAGATGCAGGGACTCTCAGAAGTCGCGGGTCTCTTCTCTCGATCGAATTCGAGATCGAACGTCCGTCGAGAATTAAAATATCGGGAAATATCGGGAAATTGTGGATGAGAGGAGGATCGAAGGAACGGTCCAAGGATACGTCGACTCGCGCTTCGAGAGAGAAAGGCCGATGTCTAGAGTTCTAGAGCTTGACGACGCGAGCCTCGATCATTTAGTTATGCCGGAGATTCCGGTCGGAAAAAAGAAGCCGATGTACTCGTATGAATTCATCAAGTATTCATTAAGGGTCGTTGGGTTTCTTCTTCTTCTTTCCGACTTGCCTGCCGAGTCGGAGAAGTTCCGACACACACATCTCGTGTGAGCGTGAGAAGGAAGATCTTGTAAAGCGAGATATTCATATGGTTGCGTCTTATATAAATAAGTAGATTTACGAAGAAAACTATTTGAACCGTTCAATTTATTGTAGAAAGAATGTTAAATAAATGAGTAAGGACTAACTGGCTGTGTTAGACCTCATTAATCTAGCGCTGCTGAATGGCAACATACGCACGCATACACGCAGAGAGAATGCCTTACAATCATCGTGAAGTATCTCAATAACATACTCGGGAATTCGTTCTCAGAATCGAAGATATTAATAACGGTCCAAGTCGAGCATTAGCATTCTTAATATCAGACTTATTAAGAATTAATTGAGGCAAAACGATTAGAGGGAATTATTAAGATCTTTAACTTCGGTTGAATTTCCGGAATTTGCTATTTAAATATTTCTCAACGGCTGTGAAACGCCCTCTACATTCTATCAATAGTAAAAGATACATAATATATAAAAAAAAATCTATTCTAAAATTAATTTAAAGATTCGTGTTACTAAGGATAGATGACTCTCTCTTTACCTCCGCGGTTGCTCGTATCTCTACTATACAGGGTGAGCAATGAATAAATCGGCCGGTCTCGATTTTCCTTAAAAATAGATGTTATTTTCGTGTTCCATTAATCGGTCGGTACACAATTATATTAATTAAATAAGAGATTAGAGCAAGGAGAGCGCCTCAGTAAGCATTGCATATAATACGACATATATGCTGTGTCAAATCCGTCCGATTTACATAACGTAAACCTTCTCGATCTTCTTGTACGGAAATGCTTCTTTGGTTTTCGGGCAAATCACAGTACCGTTGTTCTCTTGAGCCATCTTTTCTAGAGCCTGCAACGAGAGAGAGAGAGAGAGAGAGAGAGAGAGATTTGCTCTATTATGTATTTTATGTAACGGACAAAATAATTGCATTTTCTTTTGTGAACGTGCATTACATTAATGATGTTGAGGAAATATTGATGATTTTAAGTCGCATTAGCTTGTAGTCAATGTATATGTATAGTATACAAGATGTTTCTCTCAGGTTTTAATGACAAATTAGGCCAATATGTTCCATGAAAGGAAATAAGAGAAAGAATGTTATATAAATGTAAGTCCACAGGGAAGCTTATAACAAAAGCATGAAATGGTAGAAAAGAATCAATTCTTTCGAATATGTGATAACGAGCTTGTTGATAATTGTTCTACTTGTGCTTACTTGTTCCCCATACACATATCCGTTCGGCATCATCATAGGCTGATTGTACTCATTTAACGGTTTACCGCTTATGCTACAAACAAGTCGTGATTGCGAACAGTGTGCGAAAGGCAACGGTGTGGCCAATTCGTTCAGTGCCTCGTTGCAAACTGGACAACTTGGGTTTCTGCCCTCCTTGTTATTGCTGTAACACTGAGGTGTCTTAAGCGCCGACAAGCCGGCCTGAAGAGCAACTGTGAAGACGCTCTGACTAGCCAATTGAAACAACCTGTAGTTCTCGTGCCTGAACTGTTCGATTAATCTATCCCACCTGCGAAGAAAAAGAAAAGATGGATCATAGCAAGTCGCGAGCGAGCCTTCACATTGAAGAAAATGTTCTCTGAGTATTTTACAAGGTTGGGAAGGCTACTTTTAAAGATAGATAACTTGTCGTTATTTATCTACAAAAGATAAACAAATACGAATATGGCTTTGAAAAAGATCTTCTGTTAAAATTCCGTTAATTATCTTTATCGTTACTCAAGAAGTAGCGAGTCATTACAGTTCCCGATATTTTTTTTCTCACTGAAATTCGAAGACTCTTGCTTTATGATTCACCGCTGTCCATCGTATATGTACATATATTCTGCATGTTTAATACAACAATAAAAGTAACGATTGCATTTGTTATCGTCACCCACAAAAATGTAATTGAATTATTATTACTGACACGAACAGAAATAACAATGTTACCAAATCGTTACTAAAAAGAGTGACATGTTACTGTTTACAATTTTTACCAGCAACTTAAAGGTACTTCAAAGCAGTATTTGAAAGTTATTTATAACACTGCGAGTTACTTTCCCATTTCGGTATATTCACGTAGCTTCATCGAATGCGCACCTTTTCTCGTCCAGTAGGTCTTTGTACGGACTGAGACACGTGTTAGCTGGGAAGGCCAATTGACCCATGCAACATTGGATTTCCTGCAGCTGATAATCGTCGTAACTGGCGAAGCATTTGCGCGCGTGCTTGACGGCATCGAGCCTCCGGTCGCTCCTCACCAGCTCGATGAACTCCTGTACGCGCAAGTTGAACTCCATCGTACTGCCGAGTTTTCGCAGTTTCGAGCGATTATCGTGGCACCAACCGATGCACCTCGCGGTCTCGTGATTCGCTAAGGATTTCTCCACTTCCCGTGACACCATAAATACATCTGCAAATATCGCAACGTCATGAATGTCAAACCAATATCATTGGAGGAGCAAGTCGGAACGAGGTTTTGACACAATGTCCACGAATCATTGTACGTTAACACTTTCGATGCTTTCTATGAAAACTGTAGATAGATTTCAAAGAGTAACATTGAAAGGGTTAAATTTGCGCAGAGGATACCTTGTACATCGAGCTTAACTTTTTAAGGACAGCAGTTGCAAATGAATAATCAAATAAATTTATACTCTGTTGAATCACTTATTGGTAATAAGGCACTTTTATGAGTTCTTAGAGTCGCATATGTACAATTGATTCATAGATTGTGACATATTCTCCATTAGCTACAATATCCAATAAATCCAACCATCCTAGTATTTGTCAACTTATTCTTCACTGTTTCTTTATGTACCTTAGTGTTTGATCTATTGATCAAGTGCTAATGAAAGAGAAATTTCAAGAAACAGAGGAAAATAATGAGAAAATTAGTGTATCTGAGATATATTGCAACCATTCATAGATGAAAAATATTTGCAACTAACAGAGGACTAAAAGAAAAGGCTCATACCTATGTTCGTTAAGTCCCTGAGCTCGCTGCTATCTGCCAGCTTGGTCGCTGTCTTGTAATATCCTTTGCGAAGGAAATACTCCACCAACATCCTATCGAGTCTCTGTCTCCGCCACTGATTCACAGCGCTCGGTGAGGTGTTGGCATGTTCCTTCAGATGATCAAGTCTCCTCTTACACACCATACCAGCCTGCAACTCTTCAGCGATCGACTCTTGCGCCTTACGTTTCAACACTTGAAGCTTCGCTACCACTCCACCCAGCAGTCTCGTTATATCACCAGTAGCGACGTACGATGTGGACCCGTCATTCTTTAGCCCTTTCTCCAGCTCGTTTGACACTGTTTGGATGTGAGAAACTTCTCTGTCCAGAGCCTTCTGAGCGGAGCGAAACTTCTTATTCAGTAGTTCATATGGTACCTATTCATTTTAAAATTGTTGTATATTGTTGTATTATTTCTCGTATCATTATTTGTTAAAGCTTCAGTAGTATATTTATCATTGCATTTAGCTATATATATATATATATATATATATATATATATGTGTCGTGTGTGTATTCGTAGGGATATTTATAGAATGTACACATTTATATATTGCGTTAATATTTGTCCGTTGCTATTTAAATGAATTTATTAATAGAACAGAGCTGTGTTTACATGTGACAAGCACACAGAGCATACGATTAATATGTAACATGTGAGATTTCTATGTTCCTCGTTAGGCCCTAATTGAGCGGCGATTAATCGTTCACGATGAGTTGAAAGAACGAACACTCACCTTCAGCGTGGGGTGTTCGAGGCTCTTGACGTCTGACATGTTGGCTATTCGGTAGGAGACGGGCGACAAAGACAGCGCGGACAGGTGGAGAGGTGAGCGTGAGTGAGAACGAGCTAATTCGTGCCGATTATTACGTCGCACCGTTTCATCTTCCGCGACACGGTACGAGGGACGGAAACGAGCAGAGACGAAGCACAACGGCGACACGAAGGAAGCGGGATCGCCTGAACGAACGAACGAGACAACCGTGAATCGAAGACACAGAGCTCACGTCAACTCGCCAAAATACGTTCCGCCGTTGATCCACACTTCTCGTCGCGAAGACGAATGCGTATTATCAGTTTGTTTACGCGTGACTTTCGACCGAGAGATAGGGATATCCTAGTGCCGTCGGGCCGACCCAGATGGCTCACGGCGTCGCTCACGAGAGAAAGGCAGCCTTTGGATGGATTTTCAAAGGTGCGCGGGCTAAGCATGTCCGACTCGGCCATTGGCGGCGCGCCCGGGCCAATCAGGCTGCGCTCGCCTCGGCGCTTCGGCCGCGCTCGGCTGGCGTCGGTCGCGCTCGGCCGGTGACGGCGAGCATCGGGCGGCGCGCGCGAGTCACTCGGGCGGCCGGGGGCCGCCATTTTGCTCCAGCGAGGGAGAGCAGCCGCGAGCCAAGTAGTGCAGTCCGCGCCATATAGCCGCAATTCGAGACCGAGTGTGACCGAGACGAGCGTGCGAACGACCTCCTTTCTTCCGTGGCCGAATCGTGCGCGATCTTACGCGTACACTGCGGCCGTCGGGGCGTCGGGCGGGCGGGTGCGCGCGCGGTTAACACCAGTGCCCGTATCCGTGCGGATACATCGCATCGTGCCGCGGCACAGGACGGCCGGTTAGACGCCAAGTTTCGCCGCGGCAGCCGAGCGGGATCGCCGTGCGGCAGCGTCTTGCAGGGGAAGCCTGGATATCCCACGAACAAAACGCACCGGAGGAACGCCGTGTAAGCGGAGAAAGAAAAAGAGAGCTTGTGAGTGAGAGAGGGAGTGAGGGAGAAAGAGGCTTGAAAGAACGAAGGAGAGAGAGAGAGAGAGAATGTGTGAGTAGTGTGTCCCTGTGTGTGTGCGAGCGAGTGAGAGGGAGAGAGCGTGCTTACGCGCGAAGGAAAGAGAGAGAGAGAGAGAGAACGCGAGAGCGAGCGAGTAAGCAAGCCAGAACGAGTGAGTGAGCGAGTGAGAGAGAGAAAGAGAGAGAAAGAGAGAGAGAGAGTGAGTGAGGAGGGAAAGAGAGAACGAGTGTGAATAGTTTGGTGATCGCAGTGTGGCCGCCAACCCAGTGCAAATACTCGACTAGCCGTAGACTTGGGGAAGATACGACGACGCGTCGGTGCCGGGAAATACAACAAGGGGAGAGTGAGTCGCCTCCGACAGGTTAGTGCAGTGAGTTGCTTCCTGCTGCCCGCTTACTCGCCAGTTCGAGAGCGCGCAAGCGGCCAGCCAGCGACAGTTGGCGCGCCTTATGTACGTATTCGCGTATCGCGTTCGTGCGTCTGTGTGTATCAACGTACATACATACGTATGTACGCACGCACGCACCTACATGCCGTCGTACGGCGCGTCGTCTTTCGCTCGCTCGTCGCGCGTCTATGCGTCGCTTCGCCCGCGCGCGGCGGTAGCGTCGGCGTCGCCGCTCCACGCGTGACGCGCACAAGGTCCGTTCCTTTTAACCGTACCGCTCGCATTTTTTGTCCTTCGGACGAGATTATGTGTTTGTGTGTGTATCGTTCGAGATTCGTCTTCAGGGCGCGCGGCGAGAGAAAGACGGAGGAGGAGGGAGGGAGGGAGAAAGAAAGAAAGATCGGAAGAGAGCGGCTGAGAGGAACCGACTTGCTGCTGCGTGTGCGCCTTTGTGCGGCGGCGGGAGACGCAAGTATGTACGCGACGATGCGCCGTCAATGGTGGTGTCCGGCGTGCGTGGCGTCGCGCCTCACCGGGGGCCGCGACCTCGTGGTTCGCGCGATCTTCGCCGATCTTCCGCGAGACAAAGCGCTCGGCCTGTTTACCGTGTAAACGGAAGAGAGTACGCTTCTCGAGTATCGCGCGACAATGTGTGTATACAATACGTAAGTAAATAGTACGCGCGAACGACGAGAGAATATTTGTGGTAATCTGCCCGTCGCGGGTGTAAACTGCGCGCCCGGCAATGCCTATCGGGCTAAACGTTTCCGGGTCGAACAGCTGTCGTTATTGTCGTATTTAGACGCCGTTGCCATTCAGGCGACGGGAATGACAGCGGGGAATAATCAGAGGTGCGCGCATAGATGGTCGGTGAGTCCACGGATTCGCCTTCGTCGCGGTTCAGACGATATCGAATTGAGTGCTAAGAGAAATATAAAGGCTGGACGGTTAACTAATAGTTGTCGCTCGTGATAATTGTTATTATAGTCATTATTTGTGGGATAATTAATAATTAACGGGATAGTAATTATTGTTATACTTCAATTATTACCTGTCTTTCAGTTATCACATAAAAAGCAATTATTACTTGTATCGATGATTTATTCGCAATAATTATTACTTAAAGAATGATTTTTGGTAATATTTATCACTTACGTACAATAATTATTACTTAAAGAATGATTTTTGGTAATATTTATCACTTACGTACAATAATTATTACTTAAAGTGTTTATATAACTTGCGGTAGTCATTTCATAAAATATTTATTTCTTGCAATAATTATTTACAATATTATTTTTGTCGATTGGTTTAAAAATACGCCGTATTCACGATCCGACTCGCGTTAGCTCGTTATTTTCCGCAGGTGGAAACACGAGCCGTACGAATGTTCACGACCTATGAATTTAATCGTCCTTTCATCACTTTGTAATCGCTTTCTTGTAATAGGTAATTGTGTATAGAGAGATATACGGGAGATTCTCGCATCGAGAGAGCCACGCGCCTTTCTTTTTGCTCGCGCTCTCCAACTGGCCCGATTATTGCCTCTCGCCGCACACCCGCGCGCGCGCTCGCCACCGACTTTCCCCTCTTTCGTATGCCTTCGCTCCGCGTGCGTGTGCGTGCCGATCGCGAACGTCCACGTTCATCGTGTCTCTCTTTCGTCGTGAAGAGCGCAGCGACCGTTTGCGAAATTGCCGCCTCGCGAATTTGTCGCGAAGCTCGCCGAACACGCCGTCTTCCCTTCCAGCCGCGCCAACAGCCACGTTGCATTCTCCGCGTCGCGTCGATTACATCAATTAGATTGGCGGAATTTCACCGTGCGCGTCGGCTGACAAAAATCGCAAAAGATTATCTAGAAAGTTGCACCTTCAACGATTTACTTTTACAATCGCGTGATTCGTATGATTGGGAAATCCACTACTCGAACAATAAGTCATTCACGCGTTCTGATTCACATTAGAGCCGGCTTAATTATTTTATGACGACTAATTAATTTTTTTTTTATTATTATAATTATATGTGACTATATTATACGACGAGCGCATTATCGTGTTATAATAATTATTATTATTTGTTTGTATGTGCATATATATGTGTAAAGTGAGACGTGAGACAGAGCACTCGTCACGATAGTGACGAAGAGAGAAAGAGAGAGAGAGAGAGAGAAGGAGACAAGAGTCACGAGAAAGTGCGAAGAGTGCGGTTGAAAGGAACGGACCTACATACTCTCTCGCGCGCTCGCTCGCGTTCTCGTTTCCGACGGATGCGCTTATGCGCGCACGCAGAAAAGGGGAGGGGGAGAAGGAGGAGGCGCACACATATCCCTCGATATTGCACGCGCGTTGACCTTCGATGATGTCTTCGTCGTACGACTCATTCTATTGTCACGGGGACCCCCATTAATATTCTAATCGTCATATCGATTAGCAAGTCCTAATCGCCGCGTTGATTAGATCATCAGAATTTCATCGCGTCGATTAACGAAAATGACGAGTGATCATTTGGAAAGTGAAGAGATATGTTGATATGGACAGAAGAAGAGGGAGAGAGATATTGAGAGATTGGTTACAAATGTAAACGTAGTTTATTATCGGGAACGCGCAAGGTCATTAGTATTATCAATACATTAATTAGTCGGTCATTTGTTACCATACACCTTGGGTGTCTCGACGATCGGCGGTTGCACAATATCGCTGGCCAAATTATTATTGTGCCGTAACGTCGACATATCGGGATATCGTTACTCGGCGGAGGTGGGGCGGAAGGGAAAACGGGGAATCGCAGCGCTTAAGGGGCACGACGCCATAAATCACTTATTGTGCCAAGCGTCGCGCGCGACCGCCATTTGGACGCTTCTAGAATACCATTCATTTGTATCTCCGTCCTGCTCGGTCTCCCACTACGTCGTGTCTATCTATTTATCCGTCTCGCGATATATCGGCTTAATGTAGCGTCGTTCAGCCGGCCTGTCCCTCTTCCCTTTCCTCGCCGCCCGTTCCGCCGCTCCAGACGCGCGCATGTACTGCTATTCCGCGGTCGGGAAGTCCTTCCTTCGTCGCGTTTGATGTGTATAATCGGCGGAAGAAACGTTGCTACGTTTCTCTTTTCTCTCTGCAGTGAGTTTTCAAACGCATTTGTACACTGAAAAAAAAAAATACTACCGTTCAAGTAATATTTACTTGATTCAAGTAAAATCTAATTGCTCCAATGTTTCTTAAAAAATGTTTATTAAAAGTAGAAATATAATTTACTACATACAATATGAGATTTCCTTTGTATAAGTAGACATTTACATATATGTGTTAAAAGAATTGCGACAGGTGTTAAATTCATAATATTACGAATATGTCAGGATTTACTTTTAGAAAATATTTATTGGCTAAAAAAATCTAAATTTAAAAAATCATCAGGGTATTTTTAATGGAAAAGAAATGTTACATAATTCTTGTAATTACTTTCTTAAATTTAGAACCATTTTACCTTTGCATTCAGTAATTTATTTATAAATTAAGATGTTACTACGTTTAAGTATTTATTATAAGCTATGAAAATATATATTGATAAAAATATTATTTAATTTAAGATACTAAATATAAATAGTTACATTTAATTGATTCTAGCACTTTTTTGTGCGTATTTAATAGAAGAATTTTTTTTTTTCGTAACTTCTTCGGAAGAGAATAATTCTCGCAGTGAGGCATTGATTCTACGGATAAGGAAATTTTTGTATACCTTATATTTGTCATTTATCTATTTTGTTAGTCTTTTAAAATTATTATTATTGTAAATTTTTTTCGTTCGACGTCAGCTGAAGTTAAACGAGATATAGGTGTTACTACTTTTTTTCCATCGACTGCGTACTCATCTGACATAAAGTAATAGAACTCATGTTCTGCGAATTACTCAAAAATATTCTTCTGAATACATCGATGACAGATGTTCAAACCGTTCTGCAAACGAATATACGCATATCGTGCGTCGCTACAATGTGTAATACCAAGGTGTTAGAAAAAGCAACGAGTCCCAGTTTGACATGTTGCGCGCAGTATTAGATATAAGATTGGAGAAAAAACGTTTATAAGGACACGCGATGTTAACATTAGTCGATAAATATATCGTTTCGGATTCATTAGCCGCTGACGACAGTAACGTACATAGATCAGTATGTAATAGCTTTAAAATATGAAGAATTGCATCATATTCTAGAATTTCTCATCAAAATTTATATTTTTTTCCAGTACATACAGTATACAAAAATATACACATACAGGATGTCTTAGAATTAGCGACATTAATTTTACCAAAAGGTTTTTTGAACATTTTTTTTCAGCAAAAATATCGAGGAAGATTATTATTTATAGCGACTTTTCAATGTTCAATGTAGGACATCTTCGTGTGTGGGTGTGTGTGCGTAGTTGAGTTTCAAATTAAAATTCTGTTAAAGCGAAGTCCACTTGAAATTGTTCGCGGAAAATCATTTTATTTTCTCTTTGATCGTCCGAAGTTTGGTGCGCGAAGAGCCCCGCTTCTTCGATCGTTCGGAAACTATAATGATGTCTCGACATTTGCGCTAAGGAAAAATGATTATCTGTATTATCCGGAGAACTTCTAGGAAAAATTAACGAGTTCGCTGCCAAACGTGTCCATGTATAACATACCGATACTAACAAGATCAACGTTACGTATGCGTGATAGCGATAATTTTTCGTCCTATATCTACATAAACAAATTAAGTCTCTCTTACACTACAAACAAACATAAATTATGTTTGATTTACACCAAAAGAATTTTAGTCAGGAGAAACATTTTTCTAGTAAATGTTACTATGTATAGTGTCAGTGATAATAATCTTGTATACATATCGTTACTACTTTTGTGTTTAAACCATAAGAAGATATAGTTAAGGCCGGAAATAACTATTACTTTAAGAGGATGCCATACTTGAAAACTTTACCGACAGGATATTGATTTTCTTGCCGAGTTCATGTCTTATTGGTTGTACAGGATTACATAAATGTCTTTACACAGTGAAAATACGCGCGAAAATAAATTGGAGCATTGCTCGATATGTGACGAAAATGAGTAACAATTTTAAAATTGACATCTCTAGCTGTCAGCATCAATATTTACCTGATACAAAAATCTCGCAGCTTGTACCGAATATGTCAATGCTCCAATGAGGAAAATTTCAAAGAACATTTTTATATCTTTCCAATCCAATTTAGAGGCTTAAAAAAATATAGAAAGTTGTCGGAAAATTTTGATATATCTTGATAAAGTCTTACGTTAAACGTGGTAAGACATAGTGTAGCACACATTCATCGCGTTCACGTTGATATTGCACTTTACATTTACATAAGATCTATATACACAAGAATAATAATGTGATCATGTTACTGTTTATTTAACATAACATTCTGAAGATCGCCTCTACATTATCGATGCTTATCAAGTTCGTTATCGACTTTGGCATCCCCTTAATGGGATTTCTCTCTGTGCATCTCGGTTCCTTCGTCAGAAGTGACTCTCAATCGTGACAGTTTGCTGCGCTCCCAACTTCATTGTGTCTGAACCGTTTTGCAAGCAAATATACACCGACTGCCCTAAAACACGAGCCATGGACGCACACAACTCCGGTTACACGTAACACCAACTTTTTCAAATTCCCGTGCATGTGAAAACCGAAAACTACACGGAAAAAAAGTTGCTTGAATTTACCTGGCGATGAGCAGACCAAACGTGTATTGGTTGAAAGGGACAGAATTTCTGGTTGTAAGAACCGAATTTGGCTTATAAGAACTAGAAATTCCGTTTTCTTCAACCAGAACGTGTTTGATCTCTACATCTCATGTAAATTTAACCAAACTGTTTTTTTCCGTGTTGGCACTTGTAAGAAATAATAGCAAAGATTAGAAACCATAGTAAAGATCAAAGGAAATACGTCAGTTTTGCTTTATTGAGAGAAGTTTTTGGTGTTTGTAATTTACAATTAATTATAATCGCATAAATGAAAGAATTAAGCTAGAAGAACCATTTTTCTAATAAGTGTTACTATATCAGTGACAATAATCTTATATACATCTTGCTGTTATACTTTTTCAGATTGAAACTAGAAGAAGATATAGTTGAGACCGAAAATAACTACAATTTTAATGGAATTTCTCTCAGTGCTCCTTGCACTCCTGACATTATCAGAATTTTATTTTTTATCTAATTTCTCTACTATATAGTTTTATCTAATCTGTGTTATGATCTATAACTTTCCTACAACGTGGACATGCATGCGCGGGCAACTCGGAATGCGCGCCCTCGAGTCGAGCCGGCTTCGCGTTGCGTAACCTTCGCCGAATTTCCAGCGAATATGGAACAACCTTGTCGTGCGTGTGTGCGTGTTGGACTTGCGGTTGAGATTCCGCGCGCTTTCTTTCTCTCTTCCATCTTGATCGAACCATTGGTCGGTGCGAAAATCGACGGTCGCTCATATCTAGTCATCTCTGAAATATTCTGAATGTCGAATTCCCTTAAATATGCCCTTCTGATTCTTCAGTTGGAACAACTTTCTATTGTGACGCTTGTACATTGAGAGACACATTTTTGATACCTGTAATCGCATAAATGAAAAAATTATAGTCAAGAGCACTATTTTTCTAGTGAGCAATACTGTATAGTGTCAGTGATATACATCTTAGTGAATACATCTTACATATTGCTTTTTTGTTCAATTTTAAACCAGAAGGAAGTATAGTTAAAGCCGAAAATGACTATAATTTTAGTGAGATCCTGAGTCGAAATTATAATACCATTTTGATGCTCTTAAGATGAGTTTATGCCTCTTTGAACAGCTTGTAGACTGATAAAAATCTATAGTGACAATATTAATATTCTTATTAACTTCTGTCTTGAATCTTCAATTTTACATGGAGAAAAATTCCACTAAAATTATAATCATTTTTGGCCTCACCTATATCTTCTTCCGGTTTTAACCTAAAAATAGTAATAGTAGATATTTATGTAGAGTGTTGTTATCACTGAACCTACAGAAACACGTATTACCAAAATAGTTCCTCTTAACAAGTTATTTATTTGTGAGATTATAGACAAATACCATATATATATTTTTTTTTAACGCATAGATTCAATTATAACGCTATCTTGAACAGACCTATTTTTATATGAAAACAACGAAACTTAAGATATCGGGGTCAAGGTAGGAGTAAAATATATTGTGAAGTGGAACCTCTTTTGTTACCTTAACTCCTGCTGTGTTGTAGAACTAAAGGTTTAACGTAAGGGCCAAAATTTCGTCTGGGGATTTCTCTCAGCGTGTAAGCAAAACAGAACGTGGAATTAAAAGGACATATTCTCAGCGTTCGCTATGCGTCTCTGGCACAAGGCCCCTGGTCGATTTCAAATCCGACGACAAAACGAGAATCGCCGGTCGCGTTCGCGAGTCTCGCGCGAGATCGTGACGACAGATACGCGGCGCCGAGTCGCGCTAAAAGGCAAAAACGGCACGTGTTAAACACGATAAATAAATGAAATTACCGCGACTACGTGTGTCTCTCTCTTTTCCTTCTTCGCTGTTTCATTTGCATTTTTCGCGGAAACGCAACGGCCGCTCGCTCTTCTCTCACACTTCCGTGTTACCCAATTCTCGCTGTCTCCGCAACTTTGGGAATCGAACGAGTTACTAGCGCGGTCGCCGCTAATTCGCCGTTGCAAATTTTCGGCGAGCGTGCCGCGTCCGTTCGGATCTCAGAGCGATGATTTATCAGCGTTTTTCTCGCAGCGAAAGGAAAAAAAAACGAAAGGAAAAAAGAAGGAGAATATCCATTCGCAGAGAGCGGCGCATTTATTCGTCCGTCGCTCGTCGCTCGAGACGGCATTTAAACGAGCTCCCGTTTCTGGCCTTACGTAATTTGCTGAACGCGGAGAGCAAGCGGCCGGCTTGTGCTTGCTTGCTTATTCAGCGACGCTGTGACCCGTATTCCTTGCCGCGATATACTTCGGTTTCTTTTTTTTTCTTTACTTTTTCTGCCGCTCTTCGTGCGCACGAAGACGTACTGGGTGATCCGAAAGGAGGAATCGGCGAAATTTAATGAGCGGGGAAGGGGGAGGGTAATATCGTGGTTGTTTGAGAACGGACCGAAACGCGATTTAATTTAATATCGACGTGTCGATTCGCGTGTCGAGAGAGATCACGTGGATCTTTATGTCGAAGCGCGAAGCATAGTGTCTCGTTTTATGTCGGAGTTTCCCATCGGGATTGAGATGTGGAGTGTGTCACGTGGACTCTTTAACGACAGGCGAAGCAACGAGAAACCACATGTCCGACTGTTATATTTCACGACTCGGTGTTTCTTATGCAAATACACATAAGCAGTATTTTAACGAAGGCCTTTGAATTGCTGAGTAATCCATTTATACCAAATAATCCTAACACAAAATATAGTGCGTGACAATTGCACGTTCGATCAGCTGTGGAGTACTTCGTCCTTTTGCGCTTTGGGCAAATTTGCTTTTATCCATTATTTCTATCTTCATTCTCGTTATTTATTTTTATTTATTTGCGCATTAATTCATTTAGTATTTGCGAATTAATTTTATCGAATTTAATTTAATGTTAAAATTCGGTTGTTCATTAAGATTATTAATTAATTATTTATCTATCGAGATTCCTTTTATACATATCATACGTTTTACGATAGCGATAAACCGTGAATTGCGCGTCATGTTTCTGGCATTCTATATCACTCTTCTTCAGCGCGTTACGTACGCACGCACGTACGGATCTTTCGTAAACGTCGCGAGCGAACGGGTGGGCCCATGTTATCGTCGTAATTGGGAGTTAACTTTAGAACGCGATAGCGCACTCGTGCCGTTTTCCAAGGAACCGAAATATTCGAGGGTTTCTTCTCTCCCCCTCCTACTTCTCCTCGATAACCCGCCAACTTGGTCAAAGTCACGTTTTATCTGAAGCGTTCGCGCGCTTCTCTCTCTTTCTATCCTTTTCTCTCCCTCTCTCTCTCTCTCTCGCGCGCGCGCGCTCTCTCGCCCTCTGTCAATCAATATTCATTTATGCCAGTTCGCCGGTTCGGATACATAATGGAGTGTGTACAGTGCGTTTAGAAATAAGATCGTCACCAAATTGTCCGTAGAAACAGTGAAAGAGAAAGGTGTGTGTGTGGAGAGAGAGTGTACGGTTAAAGGAATGTCTGGTGGTTTTCCCGGGACGCATTGTACCGCGTAGCGAAACTTTGATTTCGCGTAAAAGGAAATCATTATCACCCGATGGAAATTATCCCTTCCAAAACAGACCGGAATTAATATGCACACGCGTGCGTCGACATCGAAAAATCGACGGATATTTCGGAATCCTCTCAGTACGAAAAAAGGTGAAAAACTGCTGAAAATGCGGCGATAACGCGCGGAACACATTGTTCTGTGATAACGTTCCAGAGAGAGAGAGAGAGAGAGAGGGAAGGATGAAGATAGATAGATAGATAGACATAGATAGATAATCCACCGTACATTGGTATCGTTAGAACTTGGCGTTATCGCATCCGGCAACACAATAGCTAGTGCCTACCTATTATCTGAGGAAAAGTCAGGGAAACCTGACTGAAACTTATAGATATGAGGTCGCAACACGTGACAAGTTATCGGATTACAGATAACGAACGAACGAAAGGGAGCAAACGAATGGACATTTCCATCCTTTTTTCCTCTCTCTCTCTCTCTCTCTCTGGTATCGCCGTCTGTGCATATCAGCCGTATGAAAAACATGAGTCAAAGTCGCGCGCTAATAGCGTGCCGCTAAAGCTGTTGACTAACGCGAAATACGCAACGATTACGTTGTTGAATGGATAAATAGCCGCGCGCGCGGCGGAGTTTCGCGAGACTCCTACAACAAAGTTCACTGCCGTCCTCTCTCTCCTCCTCTTCTCTTTCTCTTCGTGCTATCCGTCGCTCGCTCGCGCGCGCGCGGAAATAACTATACTCGATATACATTATTCGACTCGATTTAGCTGCCGAGTGCTTTTCCCGTCCGCGTTTTTCTTCGCGCCGCACGCGAACTATATTAAGCTACACGAGCAAGCGAGCGCGATTAGCGCGCAATAAACGCGGATTCTCCGCCGTCGCGAATTCTCACACGCCGCGGACGTATCGTGTGACGCAACACGACGACGACAACGAGTAGTGACGGCATCGAACCACAAATTCGTATTTATCATTGATAACAATGAGAGAGGGGTGAGAAGAAAGACTAGGACGAATGGGGGGAGGGGGCGTCAAGGGAGAGGGACACGGATAAGAGGGGGGAGGGCGAAAGCAGAAGCGTAATCGTCCACGCGCAATCGGGATTATGGGAAATCGATCGTCGCCGCTACGTCTGCGTGGTGAAACGAGAGGGAGAAACGTCGCTTGTCTTCGTCTTCTTCGTCGCCGGGCGCGCGGAAGAGCGCCTGTCCTAGAGTTCTTTCGGCATGCTTACCCATCTAGCTGCCCGGCTAACTTATCTATTCACCCAGCACCGTTGCTGTACCACGGGTACACATGATGGTAGACACCGAAAACAAAAATCGTACACGTTACTCGATCAAGTTTCGTCACGCCGGCCGGCGTTTCGCGGTCGTCGGAGCCGCTCTCTTTCACGAAGTCGGCCAAACAAACAATGACAGCGGACGCAGACTCGAGGATTGATTTTAACCTTCGACGCGTGATTCGCTCTTCCTCGCTTTCTCCTGCCCTTTGTCTCGCCAAGTCGCGGCGCGGGTTCCACCCGGAAACACTCAACGACGCTAAATCTGGTAAACGTTGCGGTACATTTACGAGCTGTTTTGTGCACCGTAATCCGTGAATTCGGGCGAACACGGTAACAAAGCGGTTACGAGCGAGAGAGAAAGGGTGGGAAGGAGGGAGAGGAGAGGAAATGAGAAGCGACCGAGAAGAGCTTAGGAACCGTGGCATACTACGGCCGAATAGTTGAGCCAGGTCAGTTTGCTAGCTTACGTAAAAGAGGCTAAGTAGTGCGGCGAGAAGACGGGGGCGTCGGGGATAGGAAATGTTATAAGATATACAGAGTGACAGAGAGAGAAAGAGTGACATGGCGCCGCGACGTAGAGCCGGTTGGACGGAGAGGGCTGAGGACGGGAGGGTGAGTGGGAGAGAGGGAGAGAGAGGGTGGGGGCACCTGTTACAACGTTCGAGAGTTCCTCCTCCCTCCCTGCTCCATCTCTTTCTCTCTCTTTCTTTATCTTTCTCAGTCTCTCTCCTCTATTCTCTCCCTTTCTCCATGACCGCTTCTCAATCCGACCAGCCACCATTTCCACGCATGCTATTCCGATACGGCGCGCTCTTCTCTCTCTCTCTCTCTCTCGGCGAACACATACGATATTCGATCTCGTCGGCGCGCGTTCCTTCGCCGGAAGTTAAAAGGATTCTCTCTTTCTTTCTCTCTCCCTCTCTCTCTCTCGCTCGCTCGCTTTTCGCATCGCAAGACGTGTTTTCGAGAATTTCTTCGACAAATGCGACTTATCATCACTCGCAAGTGTAAAAGCGCGAGTTTGTGGGTAAAGTCCTTTAATCTCTCTCTCTCTCTCTCTCTCTCTTTCTCTTTTCTCTCTCCTTTTGTCTTTTTCTTTCTTCCTCCTTCTTTCGAGGATGTCTGACGCTTTCTCAACGCATACACACCACGCGGCACGACGCCGAGGAAGGCTACCATGTACCTGCTCGCCTTCGTCCCCTCGCGTTTCTCAGCTTCGTACACCCCTCCTTCCCCCCCCTTCTTCCTTCCTCCTTTCCTTCCTTCGCTCCCTCCCATCTGTCGCGGTGAACGCTTCGAGTTACTTTTTACGTTCACGGTTACTACGCACGCCGCGCGACTTACTACGGCCTCCCGACTCGGGACTAGCCGTTTCATAGAAACACACATATCCGTAGAGGTGAAGGAAGAAGAAGACCAAGATATTATACTACTTGGGCCGTTACTACTTGGACTCGTCGCAGCGGGGACAATCGATGTAACCGGCTGGCCAGCCAGCCGGTCGGTCGGTTGGTTGGCCGCCTCTGTCTCTGTCTCTCTCGTCGCCGCGCACTTGTACGGATCCCGCGTGCGGCGAACGGACAGACGGACAGACCGACGGCCGGACGGACAGACGGACCAAGTGTAACGATGCCCCGAGATCGATCGATAATAACCGCCGCCGCCGCCACTCTCGCGCGGTTTGGTGTTCCAGCCGAGGCTCGTTCGTTCGTTCGTTCGTCGCTCGGTCGGTCGGCCGGCTTGCGCGCGAACGAGCGAGACAGAGACATTTTTTCCCGGCCCCGTCATCCGTCCCCCTTCCCTCTTCGTATTCTCTTCTCCCTCTGGTTCTCCGTCGCCCCGCGACGGTCCGATCCGACGACCTCGCGCGTCGTAATTGCTCGGTGAAAAATAACGGAAGACGGGCAGAGGCGAAATCAAAACGACGCCGGCGAGAACGCGCGCTGAATCGACACGATGAGTGTCCCTTTGTCGTGTTTCTTTCTTCCTCCGGTTCCTTCGCCTCTTCTTCCCTGTCCTCTTCCCCTCTTAAGGATACCCGCCCGTTTCGGGTCGTAATTTTTATCTCGAGCATTGTGTTTTGAAGTCGGCTCTTCCTCTCCTTCTCTCTTCTTCTTCAGATATTTCCGTTTTGGTAATTTGTCTGAAAAAAAAATGATTTCGGAAATTTCTTCTTTTTCTTCATGGTTCGACGTCTCGCGATGACGGTGGATTTTATTGGCGTTCTGGTTCGAGTACGCACAAGCGCGCGAAGACTCGCCGTCCGTGCAGGCGGAATAGAAATTTGGCATCGTTACGATATTCTTAACGATCGCCGGGCGGAGGTTTCGGGGAGAGAGGGAGAGAGATAGAGAGAAAGCGAGAGAGCCGATCGATCCGTCGACTCGGCGTCCGTTGAATAATGTTGAAACTCTCTCAGGGTGACGCTGAGATTTGCGTTTAGTAAGTCCGGCGGCATGCATGAGTAATGCGCGCTGTAATGGAGCCGAGCCGAGCGTCGAAACCCGCTGTAATTTGGATGAGTTGCATTTTGCGACGTTACGTTACACATGCACGCGCGCGCTCACACACACACACCACGCGCGCGCACAAACATGTAGATGTATGCATACACATAGTGGCTGTAAATTCGTGCGCGCGCGCGCTCGTCCGCTCTTCCTCGAGAAAGCTTCTCCCTTTCTTCGGCTTGCCTCTGAAAGCAACGAGATAACTTTGATGTTCCGCTCGGGGCATTTCCCGCCGTCACAATTATTTCCTGAAACTGCTGTCGCAGTTCTCCGATGACTAATTTTACAACCGATACTTCCTCGTCGTGCTGACATAGATGCGATCGAACGTCGCGAGGAGGAGGAGGAAGAAGAAGAAGCACCGCACGCGCATTTCGTTCGAGTGCTGATACGGGTATGAAGATAACGGTCGCTCCGATTGTACACAGACCTGCAGCAGCAGCAATAGCAGCTTCTAAATAACGCCGGCTCGATAAGCAGCCCCCTTCCCCCTCTCTCTCTCGCATATAACGATATAGAGTAATACATACACACATACAACGGCAAAGTCGTCGGACTTCGGAGCTCGCTCGGCCGCTCGTAGTAACGAGGTCGAATATCGGCTTCGCGGTTAATCCGAATGCGTCACGAAACTCATGAAGATTTAGGGAATGCTATCACGAGTCGAGGCGGCGCTATAACGCTGTTATATCCCGTGCAAAGTTATATCTACACACACACACAGAGAGAGAGAGAGAGAGAGAGAGATAAAGACGACGACGACGACCGACGTCTCCGTCGGTCGGCCGATGTGTGTCGGACGTCGGGGGATTACGCATAAATCTTCTCGCGGAGTTGGAAATTTATCGCGACGATGGCACCGCGTATGCCAAGTAGTAGACGTAACGAGACTTTTCGCGTCAACGGGCTGATTATCGCGAGATCTTTCGCGCGTCAGAGAGCACGCGAGAGAGAAGGGGAGGGAGGGGGATAGAGCGACGTATCTATTTGATCGCGTACAAATAAGAGATAAAATCGAACGATCGATCGTGCGCGCGCGCGATTGGCCGTGAGTGGAATCGCTAGCGCGAGATAAGGACGTAATTTCGCCGAGAATATTTTTTTTATCGGCTCGCGCCGATCGCCCGGGTTCGTCGCGTATCTCGCGTGTCGGGAACGCGACGAGGTGGGTAGGTGGGTGGTCGTCGGTCGGCCGGGGAGGGGTGCCGATATGCACGACGCAACTGTAACGAGAAAACGCACGTCCCCGGCCGAACCCGCCGGCGGTTATTTCTCGCCCCGCGACATTTTTCGATTACCACGACGGAAACAAATTCCCACGATGATATCGTGTGTACGTGCGCAACGCGACTTCCCCTCCGCGTGTTAGTATCCGGACGCGTCTCGTAATCCTTTTCCTCCGCGGAACAAGGCGACAAAGACGAACGAACCGACGGATGGACGGACGGACGCGCGTTCTTCTTCGCCAGAGAAGAAAGCCGCGAAATAAAGACGGAAGGCATCGCAGGAGAAAGAAAAGAAAGGACGAAGGAGGGCGGGAAAAGGAATGGGGAGGTGGGGTGGAGGGGGTTGAAGGAAAGAGAAGGAAAATAGAGGCGAGACTCGTTCTCGGTTCGCGCACTGAAAAATCGCTTGCTACGCGAGTCCGCTGGCTTATGGACGTCGTCGCGGTTCTCTTCCCCTCCCTCCCTCCCTTATTCTCCTAATCGTCGTTGTCGTCGTCGCGATGCAGTCAGTCCGAAGGTGAAGTACAAGGAGGATAATGGGAGTAGCGCATCGCCATTGTAAACAGACTCGAGAGTAGCGGCTCCGGGATTTAGTTCGGTGTGTTGGAGCGACAGAAGAGAGTGAGAGGGGGAGAGGGGGGGAGGTTAAGGGATGGTAGCGCGCGCGGAGGTGGGATGAAACTCGGCGGCCGGGGGGAGACGCTGACGAGAGCGGGATGAGGCGAGTTGTGATGGCGATGGCACGGAAGAGGAGGTGGAGGGACGTGTCGCGGAGGAGAGGGTGGGAGTAGAGAGCGAAAGAGAGAGAGAGAGAGAGAAATGTAGGGAGGGAGGGGGAGAGAGAGACGACGGCTGGAGGTGGCGGCAGCAGGAGGAGGGTGGGAAGTTGCCGAGACATCGATCGGGTCGGCCATTGCTTGCCACACTCTCTCCGCTACTCCACTAGGAGTCAAGATGCCGTATCTCCAACTATACGAGGAACTAAACTCTCCGTGAAACTACTCTCCCAGCGCGCTCGCGGGCCGCCCGCGCGCGCTCTACGCACTTGTCCTAACCCGCAACGGCGGCCGGTCGCCCGTGCGCGCGCGTCGCGCTCATATGTGTGTACAAGCGGCATGTGTGTGTTTATATGTGCGTATGTGTGTGTACACGCGTACAGCTCGTCGCAAAATTATCACCGTAAATCGTGGTCTCTTGACTCTTTTTTTCTCCAGCGGCGTTAGTTGATTCTAGGATGCATAAGAGAAGGAAGAAGGAACGGGGAGAGGGACGGGTTTGATAATATTAATGTAGGAGATAAGGGAGATAAAATCGAGAGGGACGCGGTAACGTTTTGCGTCGGTTGTAGCGATGCTCGAGGGAAGTTTCGTGTATTATTTATGAATTGCAACGTAAAATTGCAATAATACGTCCTTAACGGTCGATCCTCAATTTTGAAGAGAGACACACAGAAGGGGGAGGGGAAGCAAGAGTAAGTTGCTTGCTCGTGCAGGCGTTTTATGCGGAAAATTCTGATTCCGAGTGGAAAGCGGATACGGGGTTATCGGGTGGGTGAAGAGGGGAGAGGGGGCGAGCGGCAAACTCTCCGGCAAGTGTGTGTAACTTTGAAACTTAACAAGGCCGATACACTCGTCGTCGTTGTACTTTCGCCCGGAATGAATAGCGCGACCGGAGCAGCCGGTGATGCGTCTACAACGAGCCACAAACCGCATTGTTCTTCGTTCTTGCGGGCGCGCGCTCTCGGGCTCGATGATGACACTTGATCCCGCCGCTCGTGATTCTCCTCCTCGACCGCCTATTGTGAATCGCCGTGTAAAATTCGCTCGACTTGAATTAACGGCAGCTCGTGTAATCTACTTGATGAAGAAGAAGAAGAAGAAGAAGGAGAGGAAAGAAAAGGGGACAGAGGGGGAGATAAATGCACGTTCGTTTCAATTCGTCGCTCTTTCCTCTTCTTTTTTTTTTTAATTCTTTGTTCGTTTTTTTTTGTTAGTCTTTCATTAATGCTTCTTGTTTGTGTGCGCGTGGAAGTCATCGAAACTTTAATTTGTCCGAACTTCGGGCGGATTTTGCACACTCGCACGCACACAATGCTGCGGCGCACATTTGTGTGTGTCGCTACAGGTGTTCGTCCCGCGCACTCTGTATAATTCGTTCTCCACACGCTCTCGGCGCCTCATTGCTCGCGTGGGAAGCAAATGACCCGGTCGTCGAGTGCTAATTGCGCTCTCGATATATCGCTGATTGAGGCGATCTGTCAGCGAGCGATTAATTTTCCGCCGTATCGCGTTCATGAATTTTCACTTAGGAATTACAGCTTGACGTCTCGTTTCGTCCAATACTACCGATTCTTAACCGGTTTCTTGAATGGTGTTTGTCCCCCCCCCCCCTCTCTCTCTCTCTCTATCTAGATAAAAAAAGAATTCAATCTCCGATTGGTGTTATCCGTCGAGTTGAGATGTCCGGCGATTTCGATTCAGCGTTA